TTTGGTCCCAGGGTATCACTTGCAGCAAATTATTCTGCTGTGTTATGTTGTCTATTGATCACTCTTTTTTGCCTTTTACCCTTGTTGTTGTTGTTCTTTTTCCTGTCTCTTGCAGAAAGTGGTGCCAGGCCATTAGGAAACTGAATTAATAAACCTTCCTATTGATTTTTCTTGACCATAAAGCTGACGTTATTGAGCAAGGACCTTGCCTTGAGCTGTGCAGAAGGGGTTTTGCTAAGCACTTGACAGCTCTCCTCATTCCTTTGCTTCATTACCTTCCCTCTCTTTCCTACCTCATCATTTGCAAGAGGAGGAGATTCTTAAAACCATTATGTAGAGTCATTTCATTTCACTGACAGGCTCCTTTTTCTAGCAGCCACACAAATGATGGGATTTTTCTTTCTTTTCACTCCAGAGGTACACAAACAGATCAGCCCATTTGCTAAAAGCCTCAGCACTGACACCACGGTATCCATGGCAACGCACCAACCTGCGCAAGCATCTGCAGACACTTCAAAATACCAAGCGATGACAAGGAGTTGCTTCAGACAATGGATGTTTATGGGTGTCACAACCATGTGAAATACTTCTCTCTCCACCCATCAGCTCCTTGATTATAAGGTGCTTTATATTTTTCTCGCAGCTCCTTTGTTAGAATCCATGATTCAAGGCAGAATTAATCCCTGTTTTGATGTTCGTTCACTTGGTTGTTTTTTTTTTTTTTTTCACTGAGATGACTGGCTGAGGTGCCTCATGGGAATGAGCACCCCAAGCTCTGCTGTTAACCTTCCTCTTTGAACTGAGTTGGAGTACAGGCTCTTCAAGTGATAAAATCCAAAGTTGTAATTGAAAAAGAAGTGGTCTGTGTCAGCTAACTAACAGAGCTGGTTGTGTGAGTGCTCGGCTGAGTGGTGATTTGCCACATCATGTTGCATGAGCTACTGCTTTCCTATAGTGATGATAGATTTATTAAGATCCATTGAACCATTTTTGAGGAATGTTTTAAGTTTATCCATCTGCTGGCATAGCAGAGGCTGTGCTACTGTGTTTACAGATTCTGGTCTCCACCAAACTCGTAGGTTGTTCAGCTCTGCTTTCGGGAGATAACATTCAGGTGCTCAGGCTGCACATCTGAAGCTGGCTGCAGAAAATGTATCAGTGCATTAGACCAGGCACTTACCTGCAAAACCATCTGTAATTCAGACTAAGGAACTGCATCTAGAGCACTGATAGACAGCTAAGTCCTGTGCTGATGGTGACCATGGGTTAGGAGCAGTTTTATAACGCAGCAAACCAGCAGGAAGTCTTCAGGCAGTCAGGGCCATCCTCCTCAAATCAGGGAAGTATTTCTACCTCACTAAGATGTGATGGGTGTGCTTATCAATCAGGTTGAGGCCAATCTCAAAACCAGACTGGACAACTGCATGTGTTGTTCACACAAAGGCTGAGTGTGAGGCTGAGTGTGAGGTTTGGTAATGGGAAAGAGCCCAAGTACATTGATGCTCAACCTCCAGCCACAGCCTCATTCTGTCTGTAATGTTTCCACTCTCTTAAGAATTGACATTGGTGTTTTATTCATAGAAAGGCAGAAATACAAAGCCCAAACCCAAGATGAGCTATGTTGCCCCATATTGTGATGTTAACTTGATTAGGCTAATCTGTTTTCTGCTGATGGTTTAAGCTTTAGGCTTGGAAAAGGCAGTAGCATTTACATGTTTGAACACAAGAGGAGCATATTAAAAAGCCTTATCAAAATTCCACATTAATAAAACAAGCTATCAGTGCATCAGAGCACTGATGAGCTTCCATGTGCAAGCATGCAAGCATCATAATAGATTCTTTGTAAGGTCTTTAATCCTCAGTAGCTGCTGTTGGAAAAATCCAGACTTTTCCCTAGAACAGGAAATTAAATCTCAAAAATAATACATCTCTTGTGTTCTGTCCAGTTTGACTGTTCAGTAACTTACACATTATATTTATTTTGAGAAGCAGCTTTTTCATATGGTTGCCTTTCAGATGCAATGTGTAAGGAGATTTCACAACTTAAAAACTTAACGTGTGTTCTGTTCATCTACTGTTTGATCCTGTAAGTAGGCAGCAGGTAGTTGTTGGGTTTTTGTTTGTTTGTTTGTTTTTAATTTTTTAAAATTTCATTAGAAGATGTGGTAAGACTGACTGGTGCAGTAGTTTTATTCCCCCAACTTTCAAGAGAGATAAAGAAGGCAATGCTTGTAGTGGTGAGATGCTGGAGATGGCAAAACAAACAACCCAAGTTCAAACTTGCACTTATTACTTCCTGGCAATCATCATTCACTGTTATAATTAGAAAATAACAAGAGCAACAAAACATATTTCCCTAGAGTTTGGGGTTTTTTTTTCCTTCTTGGGGAGATGGAAACTTAATAGCTGAAATGTTGTTTTGTGCCCCAGAAAATGGGTTAAAGCAGTAAAAACTGGTTTAGGCAAAGAACTTTCTACAGCTGAATTGTGCAGGGATCAATACACCTCTTGCTTCCTTTTGGGTACGTTTATGATTTCTCCTGTGAGATGTCTCTTACACGACAAGCCTGACACCCAGCTTTCTCCTCTTCAGCAAAGCAATCATCCCCACAACCAAGATGTCACAGAGCCTCAAGAGCTGAGACGAAAAAGTACCTGGTTTAGGTAAATGCTGGGGGAAGAAACTCTGCACATAACCATGAACTCTGTAAGGGAACTCCACCCTCCATTTTTCACACCAGCACATTGTCCTTTACTTTCAGTTCCAGCAGTGAAAAATGAAGACAATCCCTGGAATAAATTCTCTACTGCAATTCTAGTCTCCTTGTATCCCCAAGAGCTGGTGGCACAAGTATTTTGTACCCTCTCTCTGCTTTCAAATTATTCTACTTCTCATGCAGAGACTGGCTTTTGACACCAAAAGCATTTAGCAAATTAGAGTGTAGCTCCCTGAATCTAATTCTTCCATCATAATTCATATGGGTACCTACAGTCCCTTGGACAAAAAGACCAAAGATAACTAAATCTACAAAGGCAGCTTTGCTCTGCTACAAGTCCTTCCAACTGGGCCAGATTTCACCTTGGCTTAAAGCTTTCCTGTAGCAACCTGAGGCATTTACGTTTACAAATAGGTAATATCTTCAAATAATCTTTGACAGGGAAATGATGGGAGAGAGGCAGAAAAAAGAAGGCTTTTAAATGGAAATGTTACTGGAAATGAGTTGATGAGATACAGTTGGGTTTCTTGCCTTTAACAGAAACAAAACTGAGCATAGTTCGTGTTGCAAAGCCAGGGGTAAGTACATACTATTTTCAGTGGAAGCTTTTGCTTTGCTTAGTGGTTGATAACCATTTGAAGGCGCTTTTCAGTTCACCTTTCTTCCCCACTGCCTCCTTTGGGCACTAGAGGGACCCTGAAGTTTTCCAGCCCATGGAAACAACTCAGCAATGCCGAGGCGGGAGCGCTGCCTTTCCCGGTCACCTTAGCTTAGGTGTTTCCAAGGGGAAAGGTGGGAAAAATCTGCTCAACTGGTTGTTGAACATACCCACAGACTGCTAACATGCCACTGGGAAAAGTGTGCAAAGGGGCTGTAGCCATCCTTTCCTTTATTTCATCATGCACACTGGTGCTTGCAGCTCTTCCCATCATCAATAAATAAGAGCTGACTTTGCCTTGACTGCTCTGTTTGCTCAGCTAATGTTGTGACATTGGCACCAAGGCTTGAGTCACTGCGTTTTTGAGAAATTAAATGTTTCCTTCCCCAGCCTGAAGTGATGCCAAAACACCTAAGTTGCCACTGCTGCAGCTCAAAAACCTGTCAGAGGAGAAGTGGCGGATTGTTGTTTTAACTATATAGAAAGAGAATATGTATTGACACAAATTCCTTTTAGAACAATGTTTTCCAGACAGAGTTTCAAATGAATCTGTTCTAAAGAGGGCTATAGGCAATGTCATTCCTTTTTCTTTTAGCAGGCAGGCAAAAAAAATCCTCTGCATTTGACTTACTAGACCTCCATATAGAGATCCATAATTCAGCATGTCAAAGCTTTACTATAAAGCTCACGGTTTATGAGGTGATGTAAAAATCTATTTTTCCTTTGTACAAAAAAATCTTTCTCCACTATCTCTTAGTGGGATGATGCCTTTTGATCTCTCCGTGAATATTTCTAATAAAAATACGTGCATGCATTTTAACATCTCTATAACATGAATTAAAAGATTTTTTCCTATCTTAAAACGTCTAGTGTCAACACTGTTGTTGAATATTTAATGTGAAGTATAATGTAATTTGACTAGATAATTATCTCGGGGGAAATGGTGGCTGCCACATTGTTTTTTTCCTGTGTTTATTTTTCATCATCTTTGATGATTGTTTAAAGGAGAGATGGAACTGAATGACTAACTTCCAAGACTCGCCTTCTCTCTCTCTCTCTGTCTCTCTCTCTGCAGAGTGCTGCTGAACAGACAGGCTGCTGCCATGCTGCATCCGAGCCAGAGGCATTGATTCCTCCATGGCACATGGAATATTCTGAGCATTTCTCTGGTTGTTTACATCACCCCTCTGATCTCTAGGAATCTATATGGACAGTGCACAGGCTATTTACTGCACAGGTGTCTCTCCATTAAGACAGCTCTTCATTTCTTCCATGATCCCCATCACAGTATTTGTTTCCAACAAAAGTATAAGATGTCTGTCGTTCCCCCCCCCCTTTTTTTTTTTTCTGTATTATCATAAGCTCTAAATGAATCTAATTTCCATTTGGATGAAGTGTAACTTCTCCTTGATCAACTCAACTGCTCATTCCCTCTCAGGGCTCTTTCTGATTAGGCTTTATGTAAGCCTGCATTCGCATTATCTACATGGTGAGAGGAAGGGCTTGCAGGGAGAGATCCATCAAGGTCTTTGCATGGACACGGAGGCCTCCAAGGGCAGGCACAAAGAGAAAACAGCGGGGGGAAGGCACTGCTGATCCTCAGGGTGCTGGGGACGCTGGTGCACTTTCCTTATGCCTTGAACCAGTGTCTTTCCTCCTGGTAGCTCGAGAGAAAGACTCACTGCAGCAAATCCATTTCCTCTGACAGCATCTCCTCCAGATGGATATATATCAGCAATGGTGAGTAACCAGAGGGGAACATGATGGCTTTGTCCTCTTGGCAAGATTCTGCTCCCTTTGCACACCACTGATTTACAGATTACATGCAAGAAAAGAGCAGTGGTAGGAAGTTCTCTCAAAGAGCTTGAGAAGGGCTCAGGAAAGCGACTGGAAGAAATGTCTGTAGCCTTGACTCACAGCTTCAGACCTTATAACAGAAATGTCCTGGTTTACAAATACATAAAAATACTTAAAATTATTTGGCATTCTCTAGTCTTTTCATTAACACTGACATGCCATTAATGTGGAACATAATCCAATGTAGTAGCTGTTGAGGGATGACCATCTCTGTATGATGAAACAGAAGCAAAGGTGGGACCTTGGCTATCCTGAATCTGTTTTGACCACTCAGGCACTTATGCCCCAAATATAAATAAAAATAGCAATATTAATCTTTACTGGATTCCCTTTGTTTCAAAACACTTTTTTAGGTTAATACCGTCATGAGATACTTGGAATTGGTGGTTAAGATTCTGATAGACTGGCTTTTTGAACACGCATTTTTAATAAACCCAACAGACTAATTTGTTTAGGAAACAGAAGAGGTAAGAAAGCACCAATTTTACTCTTTCATCTCCAGCACAGGGAACTGAAACAACGTGGTGCTGGCTAGAAGGGGTGAGATGAGCCGATGCTCCTATCAGTGGCATTGCAGGAGGGATGACTTTGGAATATAGACACCGTAATTGATGCTCTGAGGGGCTGAGGAAGAAAGTTCATTCGAGAATCTGGTAAGTGACAAAGTAATAGGATATCTTTTATTGCCAGATTCCAGGAAATGGCTGGATAGCTCAGCCCTCCGAGACCAGCGTGTAAGTAAGCAGCAGCGCAGTGTGCCATAGACCCGTTTTTTTTCACCGATCTCATCATTATTCGCTCTCTTTCCCTAGAGAAAAAGGAGGAATCAGACTGAGCTGGGACTTGCAGCGTCGCAAGACCCAAATGAAATCAGGTAAGGGGCTGTCGGGCTGGTTTTCTCCCAGGGGCAGGGCAGCGCTGACCGTCCCGGAGCCCGGGTGTCTCCGCAATGCAGGGGCCGGGGCGGGGCGGGGCGAGGGGCCGCTCCCCCTCCGCCACCCCCGCCGGCGCGGGGGCCCTGCGGGCGCGGCGGGGCCGGGGCGGGGCGGCGGCAGCGGGGCGGGGCCGGGGGCGCGCAGGCGGCCGCGTCCCGCCACAGCCCGAGAGCTGCGGGGCGGGTCGGGCTGAGCCGGGCACGGCACTGCGCGGGCGGCACCGCGTCCTCTCCGTGCCCGTCGGTGCCGGCGCGTCCTCCCTGTGCCCGTCGGTGCCGGCGGCCGCCGCGGCGCTCAGGTAAGGGCCGAGCCGAGCCCCGCGGGGGGCAGGACGGGCAGGACGGGCGGGGCGGGGGCGCGGGGGGCTCGCTCTGCCCCGGCCCCGCGCGTTCCCTCCCTCCCTCCCTGAGTGCCCCGGTCCGCGGCCCCGCCGCGCTCCCGCACCGGAGTTCGCCGCGGGTCGCCCCCGCCCGACCTGCCGGAGGTAATGGGAGGGATAAAAGCCCCCGGTTAACGCCCGTTTTACCTTCGCGGTAAAACAGCTGCCTCCGGGGGGCTCTGAGCATCTCCGGGCTGTAAAAGCCCTTCGGAGGATGTGACTCTCTGTCCTCTCCTGCCCCCACCCCTAAGCTCCTCTAAGGGGATCTGCGCGGCTGAACAAAGAGCGTTGTGTGAGGCGAGGGGGTGCGAGGGCTGTAAGCGCTGTTAATTTGCGGCGGGGAGGGGGGAACACCCTGAAAGAAAAAAAGGTCCCCTGTGTTCCCGATGGTTCTGCATCGGCCGCAGATCCCGTGAGGAAGCAGCCGCGCACGGGAGGCCGGCGGCGAACAAAGCCTTTTTATGTAAGAAAATGCTGTACAGCGTGCCCCGCTGCAGGTAGGAGCCGCGGGCATGTGCCGCGCTCCGGTGCTGCGCCGACCCACCTCGGACTGCCCTGCAGGGCACTCCCTGACACACTCACTGCCACCTGCCCTTCGGAGGAGATGTGCTCCATGGAACACCTTCGGGAAAGAAGGGGGTGTGCCGCATGTCTCCCTGTGTAAGATACCGGCGTGGTTCATTTCCCCGTGCAGGAATTTTCAGTTTCCCTCTAAATAATGATATTCTTTTGTTTTGCTGGTGGGTTTTCATGTAGGATTCTTTCTGAGGCGGAGTAGGTGGCTTTCACATGTAAGTGGGCATTAACACAGGGTCATGTAGTAGAGCAGGGTGCATACATACATATGTTGTCTTACTTATTCTAGGTCTCCAGCATCCCTTTTCATAATGTGTCATGTCTTTGTGGTCATATCAATAAATCATACTCCATCCTTTCTCAAAAAATCACTTGCTGTCCAGCATTTGGGCTGCTTGTGGTTCAGGAAACCTGTCCCTTTTGTTTTCTGAAGCATTCTTCCTTGCAGGATTGAAGCACGTATCCTTTCTGTTCTGGTTCTTGCCGTTAACTCCACGAACCTTTGTTTTCTCTCCGTGAAAAAATCTGTTTCTTTTCACCTGTGCTGGTTTAGACTTGCAGGGATGTCTAGACTGCAGATCTCATAGCCAATGCGCCCAAGAAGAGCTTCAGCTGCAGACTGTATTTATTTTCTATAGCTCCTCTTTCTTCCCTCCTGACTGGATGACGTGATCGCAGTACCTCAGACCTTGCCTGGGAAGAGAATGTGCTGAGAGGGCATGACCTAGTGAAGTTACCCCTGCCATTACTTCATAGATCAAAGAATGAGAGAATAGACACCTTCCCTGAGTGTGCTAAAAGCTCTCTTCAGGTACTATAGAGCTAGTCCAGTTAAGTTTGTGGATGGATGTTCACTTCTGCTGCTGATGTTGTGAAAGTGTGATACGTAAAATGGAGCCCGGACTCGCCCTTGTAGCTCTTCAGTCTGAGAACCACCAAATTCCTCGCTGCATATTTCATTTCACCCCTTTGCAAAAACACTGATGATGCACGCAGCAGTGAGCGAGACCCCAGCCTTAATGTGGTACCAGTCTCCTGGGGCTCAGGCATTTACAGATGAGCTAAAGTAACACAAATAACCCCCATGGCTTAGACCATTCAGTGTGGAAATAAAACACGCAGGTGAGCCCTGGCTCTGGGAGGAGGGGTGATCTCAGCAGTGGACCATGGTGCCCTAAGTTCTCTCTCTTCTTCTCATTTTTTCTTATCTCATCAAGGGTCAGGATTTGGTTAATGAAACTTTCAGTTTGTATTGCCTGTGGGTGTTTGAGAGAGGCCAAAGAGCTGTCATCCTGAGAATAAAAAGTTGCTGTTCTTCTGTGGTGAGTTTTAGCACACCGTAGGGCAGTTCATTGTGCTTATAATGCAGATTGTTATATAAAGTGGCATTTGCAATCTTGATTTAGAGGTCTGATGTAATTGTTACGGTGTGTTATGTCATACCCACTTAGCTGTGCTCTTTAATATGTTTGGACAATAAAGAAATAGTTGTAATTGTAGTAATTGAATGACCCCCGAGGTGCTGCGCCTAGGCACAAGCAATCTGATCCCAGCAGTCCCTCAGTGAATTGCTGCAGTCTGTGGGTTAAAAATTCCCTCGTTGCTGGATGTTTTTCCAGAAGCTTACCTTTGCTTTCAGCCTGTGTCGTGCCCCTTTCTGTACGAGTTACCACTTGCTAAACCTTATACCTGGATTCATAGAGGAAACATTTGCTGTATGTGCTGACACCACTGGCACTGTGCTTAAGAGCTGCCTGAGCTGTGGAAATTGCTAGAAATACCTAAACACAGAAATGGGGGTGTGTGTGTGCGGCCCATTGCAGATTCTGCTGGGCTGTTTCAGATGTTACCCCCAATGTGGCATGTCCTGCACGTGTGTTGGAGACAGGTTTGTTTTCTTAAAGCGGTCGGAAGAGGAAGAAGTCAACAACAATTTAGGATGTGAGGACTTTATGGTGATGGCTTTCAGAAAGTCACCTCTTGATTACAAACATTTCTACAAAGCCGCAAGATACTGACAGAGCTTGAAATGCGGCTGCAGCATCTGTGAGATCTGAAGTCTCATCTGCCGTGGTGGGACAAATTACAAGCAGCTTAAGGAAGGAAAACAAAAGCTCTGATAGTAGTAGTATTCTGTAAATTGTGGGTCAGTCCAAAGGCCTAAGTTACTTACAGAACTACAGGCTTACAGGCCAGGCAGTGGCTGTGCTGAGACCTGATCTGGTAAAACCTCTGGCTCACAGCCAAAGAACAAAAAAACACCCCTTGGCTTTACTGGTGTTCCCAAAGAGGCATTCCTGCCTGCAGGACACTTACAGTGAACTGAAGCCTTACCTAGGACAGGGTCAGGGAGTGTTGCAGTTAACACGCACATGAATAATAGCCAGAAATTTCTGAAGGTGTAGTAGGGCTCCTGGGTGACTTCACAAGGTCCTTTCTGAACTGAGTTATCTGACCTGGTGGTCATCTGTATGTTTTGTTTCTGTGCCACCTTAAAGCCCATGTGTGTATTTTATGAATGCATGTGCTGATGTGTAGAATTGTTTCTAAGACTCAAGGATGCTTGTTTTGGTCCATCTGGATTTATTCAGTTGTTCAAACACATGCTTAATTGCCCTTGAAAGTCAGCCTTAAGCATGTTTAAAAGTCAAACGTGTTTTTACAGAAAAGGGAACGTTTTTCTGAAAAGAGAAAGAGAATAAATTCAGGGTATGTGGGCTCAGTGGCGGAAAAGCCTTGATGATATTTAGTGATGCCAAGTACTTCTGGAGTAAGCATGGAAATGAGCAACGTTCTGTGAAACCACACTATGGCTTTTCCCTCCCCAAACACATGCACGTGCTAATGCAGAGGAAGGGTGGGTCTTGACTTCTTTAGGGAGGTGCTTTTTCTTCCATTCTTTTGCTTCACACACAAGTGTGCTTGGTAGCAGCAGTTCTGTACTGCATGTCAGCTAATAAAAAACAGCATGAGACTGATTTCCATAGGGTGGAGCTGATTTAGAGGATTGGTGCTGGAAAACAGAGGTGGTTTAAGCCATCTGCCTCAGTAGAAGAAAAAGCTTTTATTTCATGGGTAGGTTTAATCGCAGGTTATGCTACTAAACTATACAAGAGTGTTCTAGAAGGAGATTCAGTGTGACACTTGTAATTGCTTTCTAGGTATTGGAGGAAAGGACTGAGGTATCCATGGGGTTAATTTGGATTTCTGTGGCCACATGGGTTACTGTACTAGCTGTTAAGAAGATTTGAGGTCTTGATTGACCCATTTTACTTTAACACTAATTGTTTGCTGTTGTATTAAGGAGAAAAGATGAGCTAATGCTGTTGCCCCTTATGGTTTTACACTCATTGCTGTTTTTCCCTGCAGCAGTCTTGCAGATGAAACCGATCTTTGTTCTTTTGTCTTGACTGGGAAGCTGAAGGGAGTGATAAAGAGACAACAGCTCCAGAGTGTAGGTGTTTATGCTCAATATCCTGCATCTTGGATAAAGTGCCAGTTTGAAAGGAATTACTCTGGAAAGGTGTGGCTTGGGCAACCTCAGTAATATAAAAATTTATTGAATCTCTTTGTTTTTTGTAATCTGCAAGACAGTTAGTGCTAGTTTATAGGCTTGACAAATGTTATGATATACTGTTTATCTTTTAGTATTTTTACATGTGTTGTTTGTCTAACTTTCTGTGGTGTAATGAGTGTTTGTTTATTTTTGCATATGGTGTCCATCTTCCAGATAAAATATGTATGTATATGTATGTCCACGTGGTACAAGGGTGACAATGGCCCGTTACAACCAGCAGTGTTAAGTGGAGAAAATCAGTGTAACTGTGTTGAATTAATTGAATCTGCACTAGACTTCCACCATGAGGAAAAAGACAATGCCACTTTCAGCTCTTATTTTCTGATTACTGAAAATCTGAGGTACTTTTTCCCATCATGGAAATAATCAGTTTATACCTGTGAATTATGGATTTTTAGGTAGAATTAA